AAAATCAGTTCTCAGGGGAGGAGAGAGATGCAAAAAAAAGTCTGAGATATTACAGTGATGTGCGGCCCTCCCAAACTTGAGCCAACCTAATGAAGTCTTATTTCTTAGTATTTAATTTCTCTCGCTAGGCAGAAATCAAATTATATTTAAATGAATTAAATTTAGATGTAATTTAATTTTTCTCCTTGGCAGGTGGGGGGGGGTGGTTGGGAAGATGATGGGGAGGCAGCGGTAATGAAAACAAGACTGAGAAATCCTGTTGTGTACCCGGGTTGGGTGAATGCGCCTCGCCCAGACTCATTCCTGTAGCCTAGGAAGAAATCTCCGTACACCCCTCCCCGCCCATGTGAGAGAATTTCTTGGGACGTGGAAGATGGGAAATTTTCAGCTGGGGGCCCCCAAAATTCCAAGTGGCCTGTTTAGAGCTGAGAAAGTGGGGGCCAGGCTCATGCAGTTGGTCATGAGCCAGTTTCCAAGCCCAAGCCGAGTTGTTGCATCAGAAATGCATCTCCATGTGCCAGGTTTTCCTTTTCTCCATGTGTTTCCTTTTCTGTGAGCAGCGGTCCCATTCGGCTACATATTTGACCCCAAAGCAGCATAGGAAAGGGGGGCCCTTGTTCCTGAAGGGTTCAGAATTTCAAGATGGCGGCACGGAGCATTCCAGTGAGCAGGGCACCCCTGGGTGCAGGGCCCTGGGGGGTGGCTCAGCTCCCACGCCCACGAGGCCAGCCCTGGTCCCATTTTCCACGTTTGAAAAAGGCGTTTGGAAGGCCTCTCTGGGTTTGGAAGTAGCTAACGAGAGAGTCCTTCCAAGATGGTGGAGACAGCACTCGGCAGTCTTAGCGTTTTCTTGATTTCTGTGGGGGGTGGAAGGTGGGTCGAGAATCGCCTTCAATACGTTCTTTTAAATGGACAGTCGAGAAGAGCCACCCTCAGGGCCTTAATAACAAAGTTAAACAGTGCGGGAGGGAGGCAGGAGGCCCCCTTGTTTGTTCTTTTATTTCCCCCCACAAAGCTCCCTGTCACCACGGCAACCTGGGCTCCCCGAGACCGCCCGGCCCCCAGGCCCCCAGAGGGGTTCTCAAGGCTGTGCTTTCACGGGGCGAAGCCGTGGTTTGCTGTTCTGTTAGACTCGGAGATGCTTTCCAGTTTGTTCCAGAAGATGTGATTGTGCTGGCACCTTAGCACCCAGGGCCTGATCTGGGGTGACGGAGAGCTCTCTGGTGGCGGCGGAGCGGGTGTCTGTGTGTGACTGTGTTTGTATGTTTCTCTGTCTGTGTGTGTGTGGATGTGTGTGATGTCTGTGTGTGTGAATATGTGTGAATGTGTGTGTGTGTGAGTATGTCTGTGTGAATGGGGGTGTGTGTTGTCTGTATGTGAATGTGTCTGTGTGTGCCTGTGTGTATGTTTGTGTATAGTGTCTGTGTGTGTGTGTATGAATATGTTTGTGTGAATGTGTGTGTGTGTTGTCTGTATGTGAATGTGTCTTTGTGCGCCTGTGTATATGATGTCTCTGTGTGTGTGTGTGAATATGTCTGTGTGTGTGTGTGTTGGAGTGAGAGACTGGTTGTTGCTCATAAGCGTTTCACGTTGAGGTGATGAGGATGGGTGCAGGCAAGTTGAGCGAATCCTTTCTGGAAGGGTGGGTGGCTGGGTGGCTGGGTGGGCCCCTGCCCCCCGGGCGGGGAAGCCAAATTAAAGAGAAGTGGGGTCGGGGGCGAAACAGAACCGGGCCTGGCTGGAGTGGCATTTCCTGGCCTGGGGCCTGGGGAAAGGAAGGCGGTGGAATTTATTTAGAAAGCTTGCAGACCAGCTGGTTATTTATTTATTTTTTTTACGATTCTGGCCTGTTGCTCTTGCTCTTTTCAGAATTAGAAGCATGTTTCTGTGTCTGTTGGATCCAAAGGTGGCGTTCCCCAGAGGCGGGCCTGAGGTTCCGGAAAGTGGGCTGTGACCATAAGAAAGATGGTGTCTGGTCAGTGCACGGGGCCCCAGGCTGTAATTTCCAGACCGGGAACTCAGGCCCTCCCTTCCTCTAGAGGTCAGGGAGAGAAGGCCACCCCACCCGCACACCTGCACGGTCCCGCTTGGTGACGCCACGGCCGGGGCGCGTTTCTTCACTCCTGGAGGAGGGAGGCGATGGTTGTGCAGGAGAGAAGTTGCGCTCCTCCGTTGCATCATTGCCTCCCAGCGGTTTGGCCCAAACTCTTTGCACAATGTGGGGCACCCTGAGACCTTTTCCCCCCGGCAAGCAGTGCTCTTTTAGGCTTTCGGGTGTTTTCTGCTCTTGTGGGTTTTTCTGTGACTCAGTTTGATAAATAAATTTTGTGGGCGGCCCCGGGTCTGCCTTCCCTGAGATGGGAAGGAATGGCGCATCCTTGACGGTCAACCTGGATGTCCTGACTGCCCGGCACCGAGGCCGTGCTCCCCGGGCTGGAGTCTCCGTGAGCCAGACCCCGCCAGGAGCAGATGTGGGGGTCCTTGGGGCCGGCCGGGAGGGAACATCAGCCGACTCGGGCTGAGCCTGGTGAAGCAGAGTCCGGGGGCTGGCGTTTGTGCTGTGTCTTCCCTCCTCCGTCTGTGCTTCTGTTCCTGTGTGTCAGAGGAAACTGGCAACACACCCTGACCGCTTTTCACAGTCGTTCTCATTTTTAAACCCTGAACTTGTTTTCGCAGAGATGTCCTGTGGTCTTGTTAACCCTCCTCTGGAGTCTTGTGTGAAGGCCCCTGTCCCCTCCACCTTCTTGCTTCTCTTCCAGACTTTCTGCTTCATCTGCCCTTTCTAGGGTTGGACTTTTCCTCTCTCTATAACCTTCCATGGCTCCCATTGCTCCATAGCATTGCTGTAGAACCAGAAAGCAAGCCACATAGGTAATTTGAAGTTTTTTAGCAGCTGTGTTTTAAAAAGTAAAGAGAAACAGGTGAAATGGATTTTAACAATATGTTTTATTTAACTCTATCTAAAATTTTCTCGTTTCAACATACAGTCAATATAACAAAATTATGAAGGAGATATTTCACGTTAGTCTCTTAAATAGTTTTTGAGGGCCAGCCCTGGTGGCCTAGTGGTTAAGTTGAGCGTGCTCTGCTTCTGTGGCCCACCTTTGGTTCCTGGGTGTGGACCTACACTACTTATCTGTTAGCTGCCATGCTGTGCTGGCAGCCCACATACTAAAAAAAAGAAAAAAGAGGAAGATTGGCATGGATAGAAGCTCAGGGTGAATATCTTCCTCAGCCAAAAAAAAAAAAAAAAAAAAGAAGAAGAAGAAGAAGAAAAATTTTTGAAAGCCAGGGTATATTTTACATTGCCGTCATATTGCAAATTGGATGCTAAAATTTTATCAAAAACATTTGCTCTCGATTCAGAGTTCATTAAATTTGCTGTTGAAAAAGTGGATTCACATACCCGAGATGTCCCAGACTTACAGAAAAGTTTTCTAATAATTAAGTTGGGGATTCAATTTTAAATTTAAATTTCTTAAACTTAAATAATGACTTCAAAATTCAGTTCCTCAGCCACACTAGCCGCTTTTCAAGTGTTCAGCAGCCTTGTGTGGCTGCTGGCGACCGTATTAGGCAGCCCAGATAGAGGACATTTCCGTCCTTCCAGAAAGTTCCATCAGACAGCCACAGGCTTCTAGAGTAAAGTCCAGACACCTCCAGAGGAGTTTCAGAATTTTCTAGAAACTGGCCGCAACCTGCCTCGCTTTCTTTATTGACTTTGTTTTACACGTGTCCACTTTCCCATGCCTCTTTTTCCACTTCGAAATGCCTTTTTATCTCTTCCCCTGGGGAAATCTCCTTTCAGGCTCGGCTTAAAGGCGGAGCTTCCTGGAAGGGTCCCCCCTTCTCCCCGAAGCAGAGTTCATGGCTGCCTCTGCCTCCCACAGGTTCTAGAAGACGGGGCCGAATGCGTGGGAAGGGGCGCAGGCCGGTCGGAGCCCCCGGACCGTGGCACGCTGCCCTCCCGGCTCATTTCCTCCTTTCTCCTGGGACCGATTTGAATGGCTCTTCTAACGCAGCCTGAGCCCTGCCCCATTGGAAAAACACAGCCGCACAAAGGACGGACTGTGTCCTCTGCAGCTGCCCTGGGGCTGCTGCGCGCAGGACTTCAGACAGGAACGCAGCCCGGGCGCAGGAGGTGTAATTCTAGGCGGGCATCAGCTCCGTCGGGGTGGGGCGGGGACGCTTTCTCTGCCCTCACGAAAGGAAATGTGTGCCTGGCTGCCTGGTACTCAGTTTTCAGAATGGGAACTGATGCGTGTGTTTACTTTTTAAAAAAACTATAACATAACGTCCAGAACAGGGCGCACGTCTTCTTGTGCAGCTCGAGTTGTCACAGAGTGAATGTACCCATGTCACCAGCCCCCAGATGAAGAAAGAGGACGTGAGCAGCCCCCCCAGAAGACCCCCTCCCGCCCCCTCCCAGACTCTGCTCCGCCTCCCAGGGGGACCACTTTCCGACTTGGGGCCCGTGATTCGTTTTGCCTGTTTCTGAACTTTATGTAAATGGCGTGGTTGACGGGGAGCTTTTTTAGGCATCTGGCTTGTTTTGCTGTTAATTCTGATAGTTTGTGGTTGCGTTTTGAAAGCCATTGTCTTTTCTGTCCCCTGAAACACCATTAGTGAGACCAGCAGTTAGAAAGAAACGAGCAAGAACGCTGGATGTGAAAGACGCGTTTGGGCGTTGGATTCAAATGCAAAGACTTCTGCTTAAATTTGGCGGATGTGCACCCTTTGAGATTTTCTCAGCTTTGGCGCTTTTTCGGTCGCTGTTATTTACCTTTTCTCTCCATCTAGGGAATCCCTCGTTAAGGTGACAATTCTTGCACCTCGAAGGGACGTTAACTCCCCTTCTGGCTTTTGGACAAGGCTGGACGCGACTCATTTCCTCAGGTTTTCTGGTTGTCAGGTGGAGAATTAAAGATCAGAGTGGAAAAGAGAGAGAGAGAGAGATGTCCACTGAGTTTCTGATCTGGTCTCTTCTGGTTTTGCTTTAGGTAAAATGTCTGCTCCAGGATCCTACCAGGCGTCCGCTGGGCCTTCCTCGGTGCCAACGGCGCCCCCGTCATATGAAGAGACAGTGGGCGTTCACAGCTACTTCCCCACGCCCCCGGCCCCGGTGCCTGGGCCCACCACGGGGCTGGTGACGGGCCCGGATGGGAAGGGCATGAATCCGCCTGCCTACTACACCCAGCCAGTGCCGGTCCCTAACGCCAATGCAAGTACGTGCGACTCCCCCCCCCCCGCAGGTCCCCCTTAGCGCCCTGGCCTTGGGGACCCCAGGAGAATGAAGAGAGGGACCACGGTGGCTCTGCCTGAAGTCCAGCTTTCCCCTTTATCCTGAAATTTCACGTGCAGTCTTAGGTTCCACATTGGCGAGGCCCATGGCTTTTCCTAATAAAGTACAGCTGTGGGCTTTTCCACGCCCGCCATAAACCCATCCTTTGGCACTTATCACAGAGGTACAGCCAACTATCCCAGAGGAATTTGGGAAGGAGAATTGGCTTTTAAGGGCCCCTACCCTTCCTGCTGAGGTCTGGCGGGAGAGCCCGTGCCCGAGGCCGGGGCTGGAGAAGAAGAGGGAGAGGAGACAGCCCCTTGGGAGGACCGGGTGAGCCCCAGCCCACCGTTCGCACAGGTGGCCCCCTACCCCCCAGCAGCTTCTTCATGACCTCGCCCTTTGGGATTTCCTGCTGCCCAGGTGTGCCCAGGTGTGCAGTGGCTTCACCATCACCAGCAGCTCAGGAGGAAACCACGGCTCAGCGAGTGGGCCGGGAGTCAGACGGCCTGGGTCCACCCACCCTCCTGGTGCCTCAGTTTCCCCGTCTGTAAACCGGTGCTCGTCAGGTCCCTCAGTGGGTTGTGAAGGTTGCAGAAAGGCCTCTGAGTCATCACTTGATAAATGGGCACTAATGTCGTCACTGTGCTCTAGTAACTTTGACCCTTGAGATGGGAGAAGACCAGATGATGATTTTAGACTATTTCAGAGCACGCTCTGATCCATAAATAACTCATTCTCGTACCAAAAAAAACACAATAAAATTAACGCGTAAGTGCTAAAGCATGCTTCACTACTGCGTTTCTAGAAGGTCTTTCTAGGAGTATTAGGTTCAGTTAGCTCTGGGCAATAGTTAATTTCTCCTAATTCGTGGATGATAGAAATGGCATTCCAACACCCCTAAAAAAGGAACAGAAGGAAGTCGCATTGACAGAAATATGAGCTTAAACAACTTTGCCAAAAAACAGAAAGAGCATGCTGGACTGTGAGGGCTTTGTGACCTGAATCATGATGATTGACGTCTGATGATTGTGAATGCCTGTGCATGTTTTCACATAGTTTTCTGTTTTTAGCATGATTTTATGTGCTCATTTCGTGTATCGACACGGCCGCCCGACTTGTCTTAAAGAGCCGGGTCCATGTTCCTCAGCTCGGTAAACTGCAGCCTCGTCCCCGGGTGTAAGAGTTTCTAAGGAGCCCCCTGTGAACAGAGGGAATTGTCGCTCGCGGTTCACTCTGTACCAGGCCCGCTGTGAGGTTCTTTGCCATCCTTATCTCATTTAATCCTAGCAACGACTCCGTTCCTTCCATTTTTTAACCAACAGCTTTTTTGAGCTATAATTCCCTTACCATCAAGTTCACTCTTTTAAAGGATATACGATTCAGTGGTTTTACTATATTCACAGAGTTGTGCAGCCATGAGCTCTAATTCCAGAACGTCTCCATCCCCCCAGAAAGAAACCCCGGACCCGTTAGTGTCATTCCCCATTTCCCCCTCCCCCAGCCCCTGCAACCGCTAACGTGCGGAGGAAGAGAATTGAGGCGGAAAGCCATCACATTGCTGTTTCTGAAATTGCTGTCGGTGGACCCCCTTTGAAGAAGCACTCAGGGAGCTTAAAAAGCAGCTTGAGGACCCCTCCCCAGACTTGCTGAATGAGACTGCCTTGGGGGCAGGGCCTGGGAATCTGCATTCCCACTAAGCTCCCCACGTGAGTCCAGGGTCAGTCGAGATTGAAATGCTGGCGTGGCTGAGCCACACGCCTCCTCCAGGAACACGCGGTCTCTCCCCATCTCGGGTGTGGAGCTTTTGAGGGCCCCTGAAGCCATAGTTCTGGAAATCTGCCACTGCTTTCTCTTTTTCCCTTTGTGTCATTTTTCTCCCCACCCCAACTTGTTTTTATTTTTTATAAAATACACGTAACATGAAACTTCTCCTCTTAAAGCGTTTTGGAGTGTACATTCTCATTGTCACACAGCCGTCGCCACCATCCATTGCCAGAACTTGTTCATCTGGCGAAACTAAAGCTCCGTCCCCATTAGACAGTAACTCCGCCACCCCCTCCCCAGCCCCTGGCAGCCACCCGTCTACTTTGTCTCTGTGAATGTGACTGTTCTGGGTGCCTCGTATATGTGGACTCGTACACGAGCTGTCCTTTTGTGCCCGGCGCATTTCACTTACACCGCGTCCCCCAGGTTCATCCACATGGTGGCGGGTGTTTGTAAGGCTGGATAATATTCCATTTTCGTATGTAAGGATAGACCACATTGGGCTCCTCCGTCGATGGACACTTGAATAGCTCCCACCTGTTGGATCTCAGGAGGAGGGTTCCTAGGAACACGGGTGTGCAAATACCTGTCGAGACCCCCGCTTGTGCCTTTTTGTCGTCTCATGGATGTTTTCCTCGTTTACTGATCCGCCTGTCCTTGGTCCTCTCGCTCCCCTCAGTTGCCGTGCAGACGGTCTACGTCCAGCAGCCCGTCTCGTTTTTCGACCGCCCCGTCCAGATGTGTTGTCCTTCCTGCAACAAGATGATCGTGACGCAGCTGTCCTATACCGCCGGTGCCCTCACCTGGCTTTCCTGCGGGAGCCTGTGCCTGCTCGGGTAAGTCTGGGGTCCACTCGGGCCCCGGGCTCTCTTACTGTCCTCTCCTGTGGGATTTCTCAACGGCAGCACGAGCTTCTGTGTTGCGGGGGGCCGTCCTGTGCCCTGTAGGATGTTGAGCGGCATCCTTGGCCTCTATTTACTGGATCCCTCCCACATTGTTCTAACCAGAAATCATCCTCAGTTGAGAACCGCTGCTCCTGAGCGTATCCGGGCCTGGAAGCCACTGTCCCACGCGTCCTTTCTTCTTGCTCGTCTGCTCAAACTGCTCCCTGCCTGTGGAGACCAGCAGAGCAGCTGCTCGTCTCTCTGTGGGCTGAGCCTCCCAAGGATTTCTTTTTCTTCTAGAATTTCATGACCTCAATAATAATGTTTGCCCGCCTCTGAGAGAAGCTTTGCACAGTCCGTACATTAAAATACTTCATAGTCATCTCTTCAGAACTTCTCATCTTTTTATGACCTCGGGTATTTTCCCTGTTGCCCTCATGAGGAGAGCGTGTCAATATTTATGTCTGCGCCAAGGGTGTTATATCGCCAGAGATAAGAGTTTTTCTGTTCTGGGAGGAAGTTGAGGAAAGACACAGTTTAATTTCTTTTCCCCGAATGGACAGAGGCGGCCTCCTTCACGGCCGTGGAGCCTCTCGGAAACCACAGGGCCTCCGTTTTCTTCCTTGAAGGAGACGGTGTTTCTGTGTTTCTTTTCGAGAGCGCTTGCTTCTTGTGCAGTGGGCTCGCTCCTCATCATCTGCTGGTGACTCAGGTTGAGAAGGAACGACCTTTCTCTTCCTGATTTTGAAGAGAGGCTCCGAGCCTCCTTGAGGACACGGTTCCTTGGGGAAGAAAGGAGATCGAACACGTTTCTTAGCTTCTGGTTCCCTGACCTCCTCTTGGGACCCCCTTGATGGCTGTCATTTTCACTCCCCAGACAGAAAATGCTAAACAAAGCTCATTGCCTTCGGACATTCATATTAAAACTAATTTTTCTCTTTGAAATCAGGGAAAGACAGAAGGGAAACTTCTGTCGAGGGTTGGCCTCTGCTGATCTGGCTTTCAAATTGAGGCAGCTTTTCTGTTCCCTCTTCCCTTTTTCTTCCTTAAATGTAGTCCTGTGGGTTCAAATTCTGCCTCCCTTGGCTGTGTGACTATGGGCGAGTGACTTCACCTCTCTGTGCTCCAGTTTCCTCATCTGTAAACTGGGGGTAATAATGCCCACCTCGGGGGGTTGTTGAGGATAGGGGAAGTCGTGGGTGTGTGGTGCTGTTTGGAGCGGCGCCTGCGCGCGTCAGCTGCAGGTCAGGAATCTTTCTTGATGGACCGGCTGCCCCTTTGAACTCGTGGACGCTTAGGCAGCAGGAGGAAATTTCTTTCACAAGGTCACTTCTGCAGCGGCGTGTTTCCCAATTCCGCTTTAGCAAACCAATGTCTTCCTGTAAAATGTTGATTTTTAACTACATTTTTGGCAAACATTGCTTGTAAGGCTGTGGGGTCTCCTCTGACACCAGTCAGAGAACACCGGCTGGGCGTCCAGTGGCTCAGTTCAGTGCTGACATTAACTCCCAAGAGTTAGCACGTCCCGCACAGTTAAGAGCTCAGGCCCCCTCTTTAGACACCGGTTGCACGTCTTGGGCCACCTGTATTTCTGCCCGACCGGCTATAAATTGGGGGTCCCCCTCCCCCCTCTTCTGGTCTGGTTATTTGCTAGAACAGCTCATAGAACTCAGAAGGGCATTTTACTTACATTGACTGGATGCAAATGAACAGCTAGATGCAGGGGTCCCCTGGGCGAGGTCCAGAAGGGTCTCAAGGGCAGGAGCTTCTGTTCCGGTGGAGTTGGGGTGCACCCCGCTCCTGGCACGTGGATGCCTTCACCCCCCCAGCAGCCCTCCAGGGGTGGTCGTTCAAGAGTTTTCATAACGCACTCCCCAGCCGCCTTCCGCTCCCCAGAGGTCTGCAGTTGGGGCTGGAAGTTCTAACCCTCCCATCACTTGGTCTTTCTGGTGAGCAGCCCCATCCTGGAAGCTACCTGGTTGCCTCATTAGCATAAACCCAGGTGTGGTTGAAAGGGGTTTGTTAGGAATACCGGAAGACACTCCCGTCTCTCAGGAAATTCCAAGGGTTTCCGAGCTCCGTGCCAGGGACCAGGAACAAAGACCAAATGTTCTTTCTTATTATACCAGGGGCTGTAGGAAGGTCGTGCCTGTGTGTGCTGAGGATGATGACGGAGATTAAGAGATGCTATTTGGGGAGCTTTCTTTGGCTGTTGCTGGAGGAAGCAACCTCCATATGGAAAGGCGATCCTTTTAAGATAGAGATCAGCAGACAACAGCCCAGGCGCCAAATGAGCCCATCTTAAGTTTTACGGGAACACATCGCACCATTTGCTTCCGGATTTGCTGTGGCCGCTCTCCTGCTCCAACGGCAGAACACGGCCCGTGGAGCCCAAAATATGTCCTCTGTGGCCCTTTACAAAAGGACTTCACCAGCCCCAATCTCAGACTTTTGAAAGATGCCCAGATGACCCAAGATTTGAAAATACACCCAGGATAGTCCGTCTGTGGGAGCAGCCTTGGCGTTGGTTGGAGTACCAGTTTCTTACAGTTGCCGTAGCAAATTGCCACCAACCTGGTGGCGTAAGACAATAGAAATTTATTCTTTTGAAATTCTGGGGGCAAGAAGTCCAAAACAAAAGTCCACGCGCCCTCCGAAGGCTCTAAGGCAGAATCCTTCCTCGCTCTTGCAGCGTCTTGTGGTCCAAGCCGTCCTTGGCTTGTGGCTGCATCTCTGCAGTCTCTGCCTCCATCTTCCCATGGCCTTTGTCCCTCCCTGTCTCTCTGTGTGTCCCCTCCTCTTCTTACGAGGACATCAGTCATCAGGTTTAGGGAGCCCACCGGGATCGTCCAGTACGATCTCATCTTGAGATCCTTAGTCACGTCTGCAAAGACTCTTTTTCCAAATAAGGTCACAGGCATAGGTTCTGGGGGTCAGGATGTCCGCCACCCTCTTTTGGGCGGCCACCATCCAGACGGCTGCGGTCAGTGACGTGCTCCGTGTGGGGCTGTTTTTTTCCTTGCAGGTGCATAGCGGGCTGCTGCTTCATCCCCTTTTGTGTGGACGCCCTGCAGGACGTGGATCACTACTGTCCCAACTGCAAAGCTCTCCTGGGCACCTACAAGCGTTTGTAAGACTCGGCCAGACCCGGAGGGAGCCGTGTGCTGCGGAACGTCCTTCCCGACTCTCACCCAGCCCCGGCCCTGGCGGAGGGGTCCACCTTGGTGGTCTCATCTCCCGCCAGGCTCCACCTTCATGTCTTCTTTTGGGGGGAAAATACTGCAAGAGTAACACCCCTCCGAACCCCAGAAATTGCTGCTTGGAGCCATCCACAGGCCATGCAAAGACGTTCACCTCGAGGGCTGGTTCAGGGGTTTCCTGCCCACCCGTGACCCCCCGTCATCCCGTCTCACTGTGATTGTTGCCCCTTCTCAGTATCCTCTGGTGATTGGCCATTGGCTGGCTTCTTTTCTTGCCTCACGGGGCCTTTCCGGGGGTGGTCTCAAACTGAGAAGCCACGGGTTGCCTTATTTTAGAGACTGTTCTGGCCCGAATATGGCTGAACCAGCCCTTAGTGCCTACTTTTGTATCTATCTGTTCCCACTTCTGATGACAGAAATCTTGCCTTATAGACTAAGGGCTGGGTTCTCGGATTCTGTAATTGCAGACTTTTCCTTAGCACACAAATTCACTTTAATTTCTTAATTCATTTTTGAGTACAAGGAGGGGCTATTCACACCCACCGGATACACATCCACAAGGTCGTGAAGGCATGCTGGAAGTACCGGGCTGGCTCTTATCATGGGTCGGCTTTCCCTCGGTTCTTTGTACCAGATCCTCAGCCGCTTTCGTGAATGGCTATTTTCTCCTAGAGGAATTGTTTGTATTAACAGTTTTATGACCTCCTTTTGGTCTTAACCACCTTCGGACATAATTTTGAAAGGAAGGTTTATAGAACAATCTTCCTTAACCATATGACTGGTATCATTTTCCTGTCTGCTGATGCGTTCTCACATTTTTATTTTTCTTAACAGAAAAAGTAATGGATCCTTTCATCCACTGCCTTTATTTGGGTTTAGCATGTTTCTTAAAATCTCTAGATGGAACTCTTAAAGCGGGGCCCCTTTGGGGTTCCTGGTGGCATGTTTGAGAAGACGAGGGAAGGCGTGATGGGGCATGTCTGGGTACCATGGTGCTGAAAAGCTTGGGGAACCTGGACTTTTCCAAGGAATCTGGAGTCGTATTTTTCCAAAATGCAATTTGTCATATAACATCGGAAGACCTGATTCCTAGGACTCAGAAACAGCAAACCAGAGTTCTCGGTTAGCTGCTGTGTCATCTTTGAAACCAGGACAAAACCGGGTTCGACTTTCAGGAGTCCCCGTTCTGATAATAAAGAGGCACAGAGATTGCATGTGAATAATATTATATGGAAATCAGACCTAGAGCTGGAATGAAAATCTGTATATTGGTTGAAAACTATAGTCATAACCGTTGATTTTGCTTATTCATTTGATGTTTTGAAGGTTCCAGTAATTATTTTTGCAATGAATATGGATTACTACATAGTCCTTTGGTGTTATCCTGCTTTTAAAAAAATAAACTCTGGTTCGCTCAGTGAATTATCGATCAATTCTTACCGTGTGAAGAAAGGTCTCATGTTGTGTTTTCAGCTCTTGCTACAAAGAGCCTTTATTTGCTCCATGATGGTAGAAAAGCCTTCGTGATAAAAACTTCCGACTTGCTGAATATCCCGCCACGTCAAGATGACCCATGTTGAGTTGGGTGGATTATGGCTAGTGAGGCAGATTCGAACGCTGGGCGATTGGAACCCAATAGGCGTCATCGATGGCAGCAAGCCATCGCTTTCAAGTTTTAATAACATGCAGAGAAGAAAGGCGTCCTCATTCATCCTCCGAACAAAACGGGCTTTGTTAATTGATCCGGGTGATGGTGAGATGTTGGAGGAGGGCCTTGTGACTCGCCAGGAATGTGAATATCATTCTCCCTTTTCCTACCTGGCCATATAGCTTCATTTTGGAAAGTGCAAGAACATAGTGTCCTCTTGGTGTGGCTCACATGGTCAATGAAACCCCCACTTAGGGTCTGGAAAAATTGCTCGTCACCGTACCTTGATCATGTGTCTTTCTTGCATTTGACAAAATTGAAGGCCGTGCGTATTTAGTATTTGGGCTCAGACGGTGGTATATAAATGGTTTCAAGCTGTTATTAATTACATATGCAGAGTCTTCAGAACAAGAGCCCTATTTCAAGGACTGTAAACTGTGTCTACTTTGGAACTTTAAAAATAGCTCAGATGCCGAGAGTAGGAAGGATTCGTCGGACATTCCGTTTTTTTGTTCACGGCACAGGCTTATTCATATATTTTTACAAATTAAAAGGCTCTTCTGTTCTGCCACTCTTTTTTTGGAGATTTTGGAGTTTGTTTGTTGCAAACCCTGGATCACATACGATTAATGGAAGAGCTTTGTATCTACTTGGACCTAAAAGAAGAATTTTGCCAATTTCAAACCCCAAGCGGCGATATCTCTTGTATCCTGTTAGCCCGCCTCGGCGAGGTGGCCTTAAACATAAGTGTTCGTTTGTGTCTTGTTAACAAAAGTATTCAGATATCACATCTATTTATGCCAACTCGAAGCACGTGATAGCTCCCTGGCTGACCACAATCTTACCCATGAAAATGTTTTCTCTTGGACAACTGGCTTCCCAGTTGCTACCGACAACACTTTCTTGGGCACTGAACTATTTATAAATGTGGCTTCGTGCGCTCACACAGAGTTTGGCCTCGATTTTCTCCCCAGGGACAGCCTCTCATGTCCGGGATGTTAAAATCCTTCTCTGACTTTCTGGGCTCGAAGATTTCTGCTAGGAGTAAATGTAGACGTTGGAATTTTACTGACAAAATTCTGATTTGCATGTTGCATCCTATTGAAGTTATTTCCTGCATTTATGACTCAAATGTTTACAATGAGGAGTCTGTTTTTTATAGACACACGAGTGAATTGAAAGTAGATCCAGCAAGGATGATGAAAGAGAAACCAAGAGGGGTTTTTTTTTCAGTCTAAAAGAATTTTAAAGAAATGAGATTCTGAGGTTAAGAAAGACTAAAAAGAAAAAAAGCAAACAGTTCGTGGCCACGTATATAATCTGGTGCATTTAACTGTTTTGTGACTGATCTTTGCAGTATTAGGAAAATGTTTCCACGTTGAGGTACCTTTTTTCTCCTTTTAAATAAGCTATCTTTCAGAGCAGTTTTAGGTTCGCAGCAAAACTGAGCAAAAAGTACAGAGATCTCCCACATATCCTGCACGTGCACCGCCTCCCCCATTATCAACAGCCCCCACCAGACGGTACATTTGTTACCACCGATGAGCCTACATTGACACATGGTCACCCAAAGATCATAGTGTACATCAGGGCTCACTCTTGGTGGCGTCCATTCTGCGGGTTTGGACAAATGTGTAATGATGTGTCTCGAACACTTTAGGATACTAAAGTGTCTGTATGATAATACAGAGTAGTTTCATTGCCCTAAAAATCCGGGGTGCTCTGCCTGTTTGTTCCTCTGTCCCCCCAACCCTTTGCCACCCCCTGATCTTGCTGTCTCCATGGTTTTGCCTTTTCCAGACTGTCATACAGTTGGAATCCCACAGTATGGAGCCTTTTCAGACTGGCTTCTTTCACTTAACAGTATGCCTCTACTGCTCCTCCATGGCTTCTCATGGCCTCATGGCTTGTTGCATTTTATCCCTGAAGAATATTCTATCGTCTGCATGCACCGCACATGCAAGTCCCCTTAAAGCTCTTAGCGTTGCAGTGTCTCGGGTGATCTTGGATCTGGCTCCCAAAAGGGCGAAATCAACTTAGCGGGTGTATCTAACAGCACCGGGTCATCATGGCGCACAGCGGTGTTTGTGAAGCCTGTGGTTGTATAGTTGTGTGTGTGTGTGTGTGGGGGGGTCACAGTGCAAAGTGAGTTCCAGGGCGACACCCGACCGCCTCTGGTCTGGCTCGCCTGTGGTTTTCCTATTGTTTATTGTTGATTGACTCCTGTTGCGTTCAAGCTGTTGTGCAGCATGGGTACCAAACACAGCCCTGCCTGGGGACAGTGAGCAGTGGGCCCAGCACTGCCCTGCCCACATTTCCTGGTGGCTGCTTTTTTTTTTTTAAGCTAAAATTCAGCTAACATTAAAGTGAACAATTCAGTGACATTTGGTATATTCACAGTGCTGTACAACCATCACCTCTATCGAATTCCAGAACATTCTCATCAGCCCAACATAGAGCTCCAGACCCATTAAGCCGTCACTCCCCATTCCCTCCTCCCTCGGCACCTGGGAGTCACAAATTTGCCTCTGTTTATTTGGGTTTAGCTATTCTGGACATTTCATAGAAATGGAATCATATGGTATGTGACCTTTGTGTCTGGCTTCTTTCACTGAGCATTGTGTTCTTAAGGTTCATCCACATTGTAGCCTGTATCCATGTTTTACTCCTTTTACTGGCTGAGTAATATTCCACTATATGTTTATTCCCTAGTTTGTTTCTCCATTCATCCATTGATGGACATTTGGGTTGTTTCCGCCTTTTGGTGATTGTGAATAGTGTGGGTGTAGACATTTGTTTACAGCTTTTGCTGTGGATGTGTGTTTTCGGTTCTCTCGGGTGTAGACCTGGGAGTGGAATGGCTGGGTCATATGGTAATTCAGGTTAACTTTTTGAGGCGCCACCTGGTGGCTGCTTAAAGAAATAGTTCTGATTGCAAAGCCACGTCTGGCAGGGGCTGCCCGCTTGGAACTGCCCTGGCATGGAGAGAACGTCCTCATGTTCTGCAGCAAAGCCGCTTGGAGCAGCCTGGTGGCGACAGAGGTGGGTTCGGAGCAAGAAGACCTGCTTCCTGGGCTGGTCGGCCTCAGCTCCTTGACTGACCGGAACCCCACTCGATCCTTCTAGGCTCCCACTGAGCCTGAAGAATGACGAGGGGTGGGTACTGCTTCTCAGCCTCTCCAGTGGACCCTCTGTGTGGAAGATGCTACGCACTCTAAGATGGGGTCCTCAGGTGTTCGACTGTCGGTCCTTTGTTTCCTGAACCCCCAGCTTGGGATACAGCAGTAAGAGGGGGACGCTGTCCCCCACCTTGTGGAACTGATGGTGGAGGGAGAGAGAGACGTGAGATAAGAAACCCTAATGTTAGACTGGTACAAACCAGGATGGAGAGGGCGGGAAAACAGCGTGTTAGAGAGACCGTGTTATGGGGCCAGAGGCACCTCATTCTCTACAATGATCGAGTCACTGCTCCTGGTTAGGAGGCAGCCTTGAGGCTTCAGTGCCACCCGTGTCTGCACGCTGCCTTGGGAAAGCTCGTTTCTGCTCTGGGTCTTTGCGTGACTTCCTTTGCTGTTTCTCCCTATCCAGGGCATCTCTGGATGCCTTCCATTTTCTTTGGGGGCCTGGCCGCCCTTCAGACACAATCCTTTTCTCCAGCTCGCTGTCTCCTGACTTCCTGTTGATAAACAGGAAGGGCAAGGCTGGCTTCCAGGAAGGGAGTGGATTCTGGCCGGGTGTGGCTCTGTGTACCTGCCCGGGTCGGAGGAAGATGTCACATCTGCCCATGAGGGTGAGGACCCCCTGTTGACCCTGGGCTCATCTGAGCAGACCTTGCCATCCCCGGTAAGGTCATTGTGGAAAAAGGGAAAGTGCAGAGACGTTGGCCAATCACGTTCGACTTTCCTCGAGATGTTTCTGTTGCTTGGTTCTCAGGGGGTCATGGGCTGAGGGAGGCGGGAAGGCAGATGGTAAGGAGGCAGACGGCTCCTTGGGATAGTTTTCTAAGCTGTAATTTGCATTTCTTGTTCATGTCTGAAATTAAAGTGGTGGAAAAATAAATGCTTAACATGAGGCTACTAGGGAGGTGATGGGTTGGGGTCTTGCCTTCCTGGGTGTGCTCAGACCTACAACTGTGCACAGCACTGAGCTCCCCCAGCAGCTGGGGGCTTGGGGGTGTCTCCGCTGGTCGGGCGTTCATCAGACTCCATCAGCTGACATCTGATCTCTGCGGCTGCGACCCTGTGATTACGGGATTCTTGCCGTGTTTCACTGAGAGCCTTTCTTTTTTTCTAACTAGGCATCTTCTGCTCGTTTTATTTTTGCCTGCCCTCTGTCTTAAAGTCTTAGATCGGCTCAGGCCTTTATCAGTGACCAGATCGCATGTGTGCACACGTGCATGAGTGTGCACCTCTGTGAGGGTTCATGGGGGTCTGGGTGTGTGTGTGTGTGCCTCTGGGTGTAGCAGGGGAAAGTGAAGCTACACAGCTGCTCAGAGCTGCTCCCTCCTGGAAGCCACCGCCTGCCTGTCCCCTCCAGGGCTTCCTGAATGCACCTCCAGTCCTCCAGCTTGGGATCCCTGCTGGGACTGTCCAAGCCCCCAGCCCCAGGGGGGGAATGGCTGTCACCTTGCTGATCTCGGGACGAAAGGGCAAGAATGATTGTTATTCCTGACATTTTTTTTTTTTTTTGAGGAAGATTAGCCCTGAGCTAACTGCTGCCTCTCCTCCTCGTTTTTTTTTTTTTTTTTTTTTTTTGCTGAGGAAGACTGGCCC